GTCGACAGAGTAAAGCTTCGGCACGCCAAATAAAGGGTTCCGAGTTCGAATCTCAGTGAGCGAATCTTTTTTTTATTTTTATTTTACTTATTTATTTATATCTCTTGTTATTTTTAAATTTACTGTTTTAAAAAGAACAAATAATTATTTTAATTGTTTTATGGTATTTGAGTATTTATGTTTTTTCCAAATGAAATTTAATTTATGTATAATTTTTATTTTATATTTAAATTGAAATAATTATTTAAATTAATTTACTTAGTTTACTTTAACAACCTCCAAGCGCATTCGCATCTGAGATCTCAGAACCAGAATCGGTAGTCTTCTCTCGACGCCACAGCCGACATTCGTGATGAAAGCAATTAACCGCATTTTAGTTTTGGTTGTGGCTGTTCAAAGACAGATGTCGCTGATCGCATAAGTTGTTCGAAATCGCCGAAATGGTAGGCCCTCGCTTTAGCACATACTAGTTAATGAACTAGTATTTATACTGACTGGTTTGGAATTTCACTGCGGAGAACTGGTATAATTATAGTCCATGACGAACTGGTATGACTTCGCTATTTAATACCAGTTTTCGAACTAGAATTTCTACCAACTAGTTTATTTTTTTCTACGAGGAACTGGTATAATTACGGTCCATAATGAACTAGTATGACTTTTATCCTTAAATAATAGTTCATGAACTGGAATTTGTGCATACTGGTTCAGCTTTTCGCTGCAAGGTTCTTAGAAAAGCGAAAAAACATCTTCCATACAACGCCCTAAAAAGTTTTCAGGATTAGCTGTTGTGAGTGATCGCGAATAGAGCACATGCATTGTTTATCTCATTTATGTAGGTGCACTCCCAAAACTCATACAAAATAAAATTTTATGAAAACGTACGTATTTACGAAATATCTGGTATTCAGGGAAATCCCAATTAAACCACAGAACTCCGCTCTTAGCGAAATGCAGTTTGAAGAAAAATTCACTACCTGCTACAACTCTAAAATGAACGAAATCACGTGCTCTATTTCCATAAATATTTCTAAAGCATACTAATTATTAGTGGAAAATAAACAAAAAGAAAGCTGCTGCAATATTGTATCTACACTGAGAAAAGAGTTTAGTTACATCAACTAAATATGTTTTTCTCAACACATGATTTAGTTATAGTCACATTATTTGGTTATAGTTACCAAATCATGTGTTGGTAGAAATATATTTGGCTGACTTTTTTCTGAGTGTACATACATACATACCTCAGGCTAAAAGGCTCACAAGTAAATTTTTTCGTCTTTCCGAGGTCGTAGTAAAACCAACTCTTAGCTATTATTTGATTATTGCTGCAAAATTTTTGCTCATTCTGCGCTACTGTTCAGTAAATAACTATGCACTTATATAAGTACATGCATATAGATACACACATATATACATACATATGTATGTGTGCATGGATATGGAATGCAGACCTTCGTTTTATTGAGTTTTCTTCTAAGTAATACATACATCCATACATATTCTTATTCTATTTACGAGTGTATATTTTTGGTTTCTTATTAATATCCTTATAATGGCGAATCAAAACATTTAAAAGAAACAAAAAATTTATATGTATTGTTTTTTCTGCTTTTCTTTATTCTCAGTCTTCACCAGACACCCACTTTTCTCATTAGTCAATCTTATCCCCACTAAGTTCCATTTATTAGATATAAAAAATAAACGCAATCATTATAATAAAATAACATGCAGATACACCATTATACTTAAAAGTGTACGCTTGGAATATACTTTAACTACACGTACATACATACATATACAGTATCGGTCATATCTATAGCACGCCATTTCAAAGTGATATTGTGTGCCACTTATGTTTATTTATTAATTTTTAAGAATTTTCAATTAAAATTTAGTTCATTCTCAGACAAACCCCATATATACCCAAGTTTAAAAATTTGTAGAAAACTTCAAAAAAGTGCAACAAAATTTCACCTAAATTTCAAACTTTTTTCTCGGAAGTATTAGAATTTTTTTGAGTAAACAGTTTTTTAGCCCCTGCAATTTTAGTCTGATACTGTGCAAATTTCAAGTGGCTCCTAATTACCGTTAATTTTTTAGAATTTTTTTTTCGCATTGGCTTCCATATAATGAATAAACTCAATTTATTTGTATATGGAAGAAAACCGCAACACCTTTGGCGAAAAAAATTCTAAAAAATCAACGGTTACCTTTAACCACTTGAAACTTGCACATTATCAGACTAAAATTGATTGGGCTATAAAACTGTGTATTCAGAAAAATTCTAACACTTGCACATTATCAGACTAAAATTGATTGGGCTATAAAACTGTGTATTCAGAAAAATTCTAACACTTCCGAGAAAAAAGTTTGAAATTTATATGAAAATTTGTTGCACTTTTTTGTAGTATTCTACAAATTGTTAAACTTGGGTTTATATGGGTTTTGTTAGAGAAAGAACTATATTTTAATTGAAAATTCTTAAAAATAAATAAACATAAGTGGCACACAATATCACTTTGAAATGGCGTGCTATAGATATGACCGATACTGTATGTTACCACCATAGTTCAAATTTGAAAATTTTTCGCGATAAGTTTATCGCGATAAGCTGTTGTGAGTGATCGCGAATGGATTATTTGCATCGTTTTTCTCATTTATTAGAGGCCGACATCGGCAATGCTCGGAGTTCTCATATTCGAGTGAGAGGAAATTTCTTTGCTTTTTTCGATCGCGAATGAAAAGCAGCGGAAATTTTTTTGTCGATCGCATTCCGAATGTGAGAAATGATGAATTTGTTTGCATTTTTCACTCGCGATAAAAGAATGCAAAAATTGATTTGGAATATTATCGATCGCGAATGTGAGTGAGAATTTCCGAACCCTGATTTAAACACAGACAATTATCACTAGCCCATCGCGAAATAGCAGACAAATCATTATTTACTTTAAAACACAAATCCTCAACAAGACCAACACGACTAGACAAGTACACCTGGATATCATCAGCGTACGTATGCACATTGACAAATTGACACACAGAGAATACATCATTGACAAAAATACTGAACAACAGAAGTCCTAGGACAGACCCCTGTGGGACACCCGTTGGGCCAGTTTTAAAACTAGAGCAGGCTTTCTTACTTACTTTTTGTAGCCTGCCTTCAAGATAGCTCGACTTTAATTTTATAGAGTTGTCCGAAAATCCAAAGAAAAATTTTAATTTCTTGCAAAGATGGTCATGGTTAACCATGTCAAATGCCTTAGAAAAATCTAAGAGGCAAAGAAGAGTCAAGTCGTTATTGTCAAAATGTATCCTTATGTCGTCAAGTATTTTTATCACAGCAGTGGAGCAACTATGTTTTGGTCTAAGCCCGGACTATATAATAAATTGTTTTGCTGGATTTAGGACGAGATTTGCGCTGCCATTAAGGACTCACGTACCTTTGCAAGCACTGGCAGTATGCTGGTTTTGGCGACTGGGAGTATGGGAAACACGAAGTCGTAAAACAATGATTTATTATGTGAGTAATCGTACCTACAATGAATGGTAGGGCGAATTTTTTTGAGACCTAATACCAAACACAGCCTTCAGAACTTCACCTTCGCTAACTCCCACATTTTAAAATTCCATTTCAATATTACTCTGAGTCCAACAGGTTCCCGAGGTTTGAGGAGCAGTATTAGTTCTAGCAGAAAAGGAGAAATATTCATTTAAAACATTAGCATCTAAGTCACAGTCTGGTTTCCAACTGCCATGGACCTTTAGATTTTTTAATTTGCGCCACCAAACTTTAGGCGGAATTGATGCATCCAGCTTACAGTATTTACGCTTTGCTTGTCTTATGATAGCAGTGGCTGTATTGCAAGCACTTTTATACTGAGACCAGAGATTGGCAAACGATGCTGATTTTGTGATTTTAAGCCTGCTCACATTAAAAACGGGGGATGAACGAACACCAGCGCATAGCGTGCAGTGCTTGCAAATACACCCACCGCAAGTGAACGATACTTATAACAGCTCATACTGATGTTGACTTCGGCAAACCAGTATTCCGAGTGAACGAAAGCACGATACTGCATTTGGACGGTTGCCGAACAGAAATCTAAATAGATCCAATTGGATACATTGTTAGACGAATTTTTGCGGGATACTTATTTTTTCCGGTCAGTATAAATGTGGATACTTTTTTAAATAGGCCAAAATTTTATATTTCCTATAAAGTTTTTTTTCGTTCAAAAATCGATTTTCAGTAAAGATGGTAGAAAGCATTACGTTTTCTAAACGTATGAAGAATCGCTACTTAAGCGTGAAATTAAAGCATTTTATTTTTTGTGAACGAAGCAATGAACATATGAAGAGATCTCACCAAAACAGGTATAAGCGCAATTGTGTTAATTAGCTTAAAAGGATGCTTTAAGCAAGATCTTAATATAGGTACATATCGTCGTTTAGAGTACAAACCGCGTATCAACAAAAGGCAAAACCGCGAATCAAGATAATGCAAAACCGCGTATGTGACGTTGCATAAATTATTTTCTAAAGAGTAAAAACACTTATGTTTTAAAATGGTTCCCTTTTTTCATAGAGCAATCGCATTTCTGGCTAGTATATTTCAGGACGAATGGATCAGGATTGAGCCAAGAGCTTGTGTGAGCAAATCCAATTTTTGGTAGCAAATGTCAGTTACGCGGTTTTGCAGAATGACGATACACGGTTTTGTACTTTAAACGACGATATATATAAAGTAAATTATACTCTTTCTGTAGTAATCTCTTTCATATCATTTATTTTCATTTGTTAATTTAAAAAGAAAGAAGATTTCAACGTAGTTTAAAAAACTAAATTTGATTTATTTAAGGAAACTTGTATGAATTTTATTGAAAAGACTTTAAATACACTCTAAAAAATTTTTGTTTATTTGCGCATATTAAGAGGTAACCAGTTTCCTCTTTTAATGTGTGCAAATTTGCACGCCGTGTAATAAAATTAATCATTGCCTGTTTACTTTTACATACCAATTTTTCGCAAAGAGCAAAATTACACATAAAATGTTTAAAATAAAGTAATGTTTATTATTAGTAGGAAATGTATTTGTAGTTTGAAAATTTTTGCAATTTTAAAGATTCTATATATGTGTATTTATGTGTATATTTTAGATTTCTCAAGTTCAAAATCAAATACTGAACATCTCATACGTATACAGATTCTCGTTGAAAAATAGATACTTTTCAGTAGTAGTTTTACATGCTCTTTTTAGAGTGTACTTGCTATTTATTATACTTGCTTTGCAAAATACTTATGCACAAAAAATGTACTTTATAAATTGACATTACAAATGTTTGATTTTATGTATATGTTTTCCAAGTCCTTAGGATGGATTAAATTATGTCTTTTTCATGAAAATGTTTGGTTTTCTTACAAATTATGAGATGTATATGTAAAAAAAGAAAATTGGATACGTTTGGATACATTTTTGGCTTGGTCAGTGATACATTTTCTTGAGACGGCGCGGCAACACTGTTGCCGAAAGCATGAGAGCTCATTTGTTGCAGAAGTCGTTTGACTTGTTGCTGAAAGCCATTTGATTTGTTGCTGAAGGCATCAAACGTTGCCGAAGTCATGATACTGTATTTCAAAAACAATTCAACGACATTTGTTTGTTTGAAATTAAGCATTGATATGTAATACATACATACATACGCATGCACATTCCTCAAAACTAGCCTGCCGACACGCTCTTGCCGCCAGCAGTGAGTAAAGCAATTGAATGGTAGACGCGCTATAAATACATACATACATACGAGACGATAAATTACCCTTTACTACATTCTACGTGCTTTCGGCAACAAGTCAAATGGTTTTCAGCAACAAGTCAGAGGACTTTCAGCAACAAGTCAAACGACTTCTGCAACAAATGAACTGCGGCGTCTTGCTTCGCCAACCGTCCAAATGAGTTCTCATGCTTTCGGCAACCGTTCAAATGCCGGGTTTGCTAGTTTCGTGAACGAGCATTCGGAGTACTGGTTTGCCGAAGTCAATATCAGTATGAGCTGTTATAAGTATCGTTCACTTGTGGTGGCTGTATTTGCAAGACAGCACGCTATGCGCTG